AAATCAAAATAATTCAAAAATAGTTGTTTTCCAGTTAGAGAAGAAAAAGAAGAAAGAGAAGAAAAAAAAAAAAAAGAAAAAAAAAAAAAAAAAGAAAAAAAAGAAGAAAATGAAGGAACGTGTTCTTACGTTACTAAACAAGTCATGCAAGGTTTTGATTGCGTTTTGCGAAAATCGATGTTCTCATTGCAAGCACAATTACAGAGGAACACAAGCACCATACAGATATCTTGAGCAATTTGGAGTAGTAATAAGTTCCTAAAAATTTGTACATGGTAAATTTTGCACAGCGTTTTTGGGACATTTGATCACACCAGAAGGTTTCGAGTCTATGTATGAGGTAACAGAAACTACTGAAAGCTCCCCATAACCATATTCCTAAGAAAAAATTCGACGCTTCTTGAAAATGTTTAACTTCTATCCATACTTTCTTGACTTATTCACCTAGATAATAAAGCCCTTTTCTGCATGAGAAAAAACTTAGCGCCGCTAAGGTAACTGATGAAAGTAATTATGCCGCCTCACATCAGTCCTAAGATACCTCTAGTTTTACGTGCGGATGCATTGCAAGTAGCAGTAGGAGCACTGCCACAACTGAAGAGTAAAGACGAAATTACCCCACTCGCCTTCTTTTCCAGGATGATGAAGCATGCCCAAATTCTCTACAGCACTTTTGACGGGAAATTGTTAGCAATCTAACTGGTAGCTGTGCACTTAAGTTATCTGTCATAAGGTAGTTATTTCATTGCCTTCACAGGTTCCACATCACTCTGCTACGCCTCAGCTTCTTCACTAGATAAACAATATATAGGAGGACTAGACAGGTAGACCAAATTTTCGAATTCCAGCCAGATGCCCAGTTCATTAGAGAAAGTTAGAATGTCGTTGCTGATTCCCTTCTTCGGCAAAATAAATCAGCTCATGTTTCAGAAAAATAAAAGTCATGACTGTGGAGCCAGACTGCAACATGACGATGCAGAACTAGCAATATCGAGGAAATTTCTGTACAATCAAAAGATTTATCGACTCTCACACCTGACTCAACGCTTGTTTGTAATCTGTCTGCCATTGCTCACTATCCATTTGTTTCGCAAGATTGTCGGAAAACTTTTAATAATAATAGCAATGATTTACTTTATTACAAAATCAGTACTTCTGATACAGAATGGAATTTTCAGCATTAATCACAATATTGCATCTAATTTCCTCAAATTATAAATAAAATTAATCACACAGAAAATTTTTCCACATTTACAACAGGGGTAATGTCAAAAACATGCAGCATATAAAATGGAAATAATAATGATAACAGCTAAGGTAATAATAATGATACAAGTGAAAATTGCCGTGGGCTTGTTTCACACAGTATTGTCGATGCGGTATAGAAATCCTAGCATGTTTAAAAATATTGAATATAATGTTCTCTTTACATGATATGGTGAGGGAAAAAACAAAGATTACAGCAGTCATAGAGATAAGTTGGTGTTTGCAATTATGAAAGTAAAACAAAGAAGCAACAGGATCATAAATATAATAGAAATAATAAAAGTAAAACTTGAAGGTATATAAGGATGGATGGAGGAAATTGTTTATTTACTAGATGAAGAAAGGTTAGTTAATTCTTGCCTGACACTATTTTCATCACATAAAATACGTGCCAAGTATGGTATCATAGAATTTTTATACTTAGACGTGCTAGCATACAGTTTTCTGAAGTTACTTCTTGTTCTACCTGAGGAGATGCAAGGTGAAAGCTGAGGGTAAAGTGGATGCTCCAAGTCAGACAAAATCCCTTTAGCAAATTTATTGCACGAAGTCAAGTGCCTATCGACAACGACGTTAACTATGTGGTCCACTGGGACACCACTCACCCTACTGACAGTCTTCAGCATTCTACGAATTGTGAGTAATTGAACCCGCTGTCTCTTCCTGAAGGTGTACCCTGCCGTTAAACTCACCAGCCGGCATTTCATGAGTCTGGGAGTGAATTCTGAATTTCTGAAAGCTTGTAATGTCAGCGGCTGACGATATATAGGTATATCGGAGCGTTCACGTGACCTACTCGATAGACGCTTTCAACACGTGCACAGAGATACCGTTTTAACGTTACCAATATCAAGAAGCTTTGCCAATTTCCGTACGGCATTAGGAAGTTTCACTCGACTGACTGTTGTTCACTCTCTAAATGAAGTATCCGTGAAAAACATGGTCTCCGTTTCTGTTGACTTCTGGGTGTCAAATCATGGTGAAACGCCTACTCTTATATCAGACATAGGAGCAAAATTTTACCAACATTGTTTTGAAAATTCAGTAAACTCCTCGAGGTAAAGTGGAAAAATTCTACAGACGGCTGAAATCTCCCTGATTACACAAATTACAAATCGAAGTAAGGTAAGCGTTTACCCGCGGTACTCGATCAAATATAGAAGATTTGGGATACCCATTGACGTGAAACAACGCCTACCATTCCAGTTGCTTAAATTCCGGCTGAAAGTATGCGCAGTGTTCTGCAGAAGAGGAAGGCTGTCCAGTACGTTCATTCTATCGACTAAGTTATGTAATCCCCTTATTCTATTTAGATATTATTGATTTTTGCGTGGGACAACTATAATGCATACGTATGCGTTAACGTTAGCGAAATTATATGTCCTCTGGCTTATAATTATATGTGTATTAAGTTATGTACGCGGAAAATTTTTCTATTCTGACCCAACAGAAGTTGTCTTGTATTCATTATCGAATGTCTGCGCTGATTCCAGATGATTCTGTACGGTTTTCATTTAAAGTTGGAAATGAAATTTCATTCTTCCAAAAAATTACGTATTTCTTTTGTATAAAACATAGACCCCAACCAGCTGTTTCATAAGCTTAATCCGTGATTTTTGCCAAGACCATTGCTCCCTAAAATGCGTCGTAGTCAGGGGACGGCAAATGAAGTCGTTTTCAACATACTACTGGCGAAAAGACTGAGACAAATATACTGGCTCACACAATCGTGAGCGGAGGCAAAATTATGCTAACTACTAGCGGGAAAAACGACCTTAATCCTGTGTAAGCTTTGTGACAGTGGTCTTAACGGCAAATTTCAACTCGACGGGGTGCAGTAACACTTGACTTTAAGAGCTCTAGACTCATAAAGAGGTCCTTAGTACACTAAGAATTTCAAAAGACTTTAGGTAAGAGCACTCCTGAAAAGACGATGCGAGCTTTATCTTATTTTCTACTACAAATTGACTAGTGTTCTTTTGACCTCATCTGCGCTAATGGTTGAATTTACCCCTGGATTTACAAACAAGTCTACAAAAATAGAGGGTAGCATAGCACGCAGCCATGCGCCAATGGCCTAATGGTATAATGATCACTTAGAATAAGCTGCCTACCGTGGCCGGTGATAATTTATGTTCCACAACTAGTGAATTTCCTCCGAACTGTGAACCAGTGCAGATTTTTGGAGTTAATTCTTAGGCTAGGTTTTCTGCAAAATCTTCGCGTACCCTGGAAAATTCATATTATAAATACTTATATCTGGAGGATTATTTGGCCAAAGAATCTAGCAAGTCTGTGATAAAACTATTATTTCGCTTCTAAATTATATCCTGCTTCATCCACAGATGCTCACGCAGGTGCGGCGATAAGCTTACCATACTAAAGATCCGCAACTGTTTCGAAAATCCAAGAAGCAGGCATCAAGAGATCAAAAGGTTTGTACAATTTCATTAGGGGACATTGGATTTGGGAGTCATTAACTTTTAGTAACGACTTCAGAAAGTCATATTTGCGGCAGTCTGTCGACAGCCGTAATTTTGAGTGCCCGCAAGTGAGATTAACAAGTGATTTACTCGCTTGTGATTGGTCTGTTTGCTATTACTTAACACGTATCAGTAGCGGTATTTGCAAACATTATTTGCTGTTTTGTTCTGTTGCTACTTTTTAAGGTGATTTCAATTGTTCTTTCGAATCATTGCTAATGCATGTAGTCATGGTAGAGGGAATTAATGAAGTAGCAGTTGATTCGTGCACAGAATTCAATGAATTAGTTCGCTTCCAAAGTCTAAGGACTTGGAAGGAGTGTGAAGAATACATACGTCGTTTTCAAGAGATGATGGGTTTATGCAAGTTGTACTAATGGCTTATCATTATTAATTGTAGTGAATCGGCAACTTGTACAAAATACGTGACTGCCGGATTCGTTGTGATGAAAATAACGCGGTTGATCCAGATTATAAGTACTTGTATGTTGCATTTTCATGTCATGTTGGTCGATGTCGATGATCAGAAAGCAGGCACATAAGAATATCACAGTGAGTACTGTGAAGTACTTAAGCTTCATATTTAAGATCTAAGTACATAGGGTGTCCATCCACTTTCAGATTTAAGCTGGAATTCGAACATTATAATGTGGTAGAGCCTTTCAGTGCTACATACCACCATGCATTGTCAAGAGAACTGCTGTTGTCTGTCGAGCCGGAAGTTTGGGGACTAAGTTTTGAAGAAAAATCGAAATTATTACCTCTTGTAGAATGAAACGCCCCACCCCTGCACAAGTTATAAATAGGGTTGATGTTGAGTTTGGAAAGCTGATGACTTACGATGACTATCGGAATTTCCGGGAACTAGTCTACCCTAGTGGGTTATCAAATATTACGTTAACAGTTTGTATAGGAATGCGAAATATTGACACACTGATCCATGAAATTCGTGACTCAGGTTTAGTATGGTGCGTGATGGACAGTCGACGACGTGTGAAAAAGTTTAGTTTCGTAACCAGGGAAATGATATGTTTGAATAAGAAATTTCCAGAGGTTGTGGCCATGGATTCAACCTACAATACGAATAAGGAAGGGTAATATTTCAATGTTAAACCAATCTCTTGCAGCCATCCTCTATATCAACTGGTCGTTACAGATGCACTGAACAGGAGTTGTCCAGTCATGTACAGTAAAACTCATCGTGAAAGACTTGTTGACGTTGAAGCAGTATTACAGTCCTTTAAGAATATCATGGGTGATATATCACGGACTGTCACGTTTGTAATTGACAACAGTGCTGCAGAGCAACGTGCAATTCATAATGAGTTCCCTGCCTGCTCAATTGCATTATGTGCATTTCATGTCATCTGTGCCTTCAATAACAAAGTAAGCGGCGTTACTAATGATCTAACGTCCTTAAGTTCCGTGATCCTCAGTGCAAAATGATATTTAAAGAGATAGTGTACACAACGAATAACGAAAGGTAATTACGTGATTGTGTTAACACTTCCTTAGGTTTAGTGACTTGATGATTTTAATGATATTGCAGTATCCTGCAGCCATGTCGTACATAAATAACAACTTATGGAGTTGTCGTAATATGTGGGCAGCCTATTATATGAAAGACGTTGTCAATCTTGGCAACAAAACCAGTAACAGAGTGGAGTGCTGCCATAAGCACCTGAAGACACATCTCAGCAAGTGCTTCCCGTTGGAATTGAGCATTCGTGAGATTTGGAAGTGTTCCATAGAGTCATCGAGAAGAAAGGCTAGTGAAAGAAATCGTAACCTGCATTACTTCATTAATTTTGACGCAGGTCCTACAGTTGTGACCTGAAATTCTTTTAGGTGGACGAAGGCCTTTCCAACATTATGAAGCAACTGACAAGCTATGCCGCCTATGCACTTTACAAGAGCATTAAGAGGCATCTGGAAATGAAAGTCGCGGATTGCACAGAAGCATACGTGGTATTCGAAGAAGTTGAAAGATACTTCGTTGTGGACAAGCATGACTGCAGCTGCACATGTTTTCAAAACAAATATGCTGTTGCCATGCCGTCACCTAATTCATACCAAATGTCATATATATACACGTCTGGGTAAGTTCATATAGGCCTCAAGTTAATTTGTAAAAGATGTATTTAGACATAGTACTAGGTGGTTACGAGATTACAATCACACTGTTGTCCAATCACAATCGACACCAGCGGTGGACTTAGACGTGGAGATGCTCATACAAGGAATAATATATCAAACCAGAAACCTTCAACAGACGCCTCCTAGGATATGTAGGAGTGCGTTTCTTCACCTATACAATTATCTGCTTGAAGCTGGTGCACAGGCGGATGATCAGGCATCTACATCATCATGCTCGGATTGATCAATGTACATATTTTCAAAGATAACTGTAAATAAATTTTCCTATAACGACTCTTGTTGATTCGAACTTACGGAAAATGTTGTTGAAACGGTTACACGAATAGATTTTAACGTACTAGCTTCTGTATCGTTGAACCCCAGGCATTCTTTTCCTATTATTACAATAACCGTAGTTGCACTTAGTTACACAAATCGAACAATATAGGTACAATTATTCCCATCTTGGTTTATTACGATAAGTAGAAATCGCAAGCATACTATCTCAGGTAGATGTACCTTTTACCTTGTTTGACTATGAATCCGAAGTCCGTTAATAGGTTCCTACTAAGACGATATATAACTCTAAGCGCTGATAATTTCAGTGTTTTCTTTTACAAGTGGACGCAGTTACTTCATTACGGTACGACATAGTCTTTTTATCAATAGGCCTCTACGAATATCTAATTTTACTTAGCATTTCTAAGATCACTTCATATACTCCGTACCTCACAACTTACGCAAACGCTAGAAATCAGTCTTGTCAAAAAGAATATACAAACGAATAACGAGGAATACATTTATCAATAAATAAACGTGTAATACAAAATCAACAACACTGCAGATATCTTTTTCTTTATCACCCAAATCCATGAAATTCCCGAAAGTAGATATTATCTGAAAAAAAACATAAGAATTCTAAAGATGCAGACATTGTTACCAGTGTAAATGCAATAATTAACTACTTAACATGTTTAAAATGACGAAATAGTTAGTTAAATTGTATATAACTACGTCAGTCAACATTTTTCAAGAATACAAAATAGATATTGCATCTCCCTGCAAACATCAAGTCTATGCCATACAAAAAGGAAATACTATGCGCATATAATTTCTAAGTATTTCTGTAGATTTCCTTTTATGAAATACATGTGGAGGAGCTTTGACAGCATTAGCACAAGTACACAACAAAGTAAATTCAATAATTAACAAAACGAACTATCCCACCTCATCATCATCCTTTAAACTGCAAAAAATCCACTAAAAGTCGTGATAACATTTCTCTTCAAGTAATTCGACATTTTCTGAACGGAAAAGTACGTATTTCAACAATTTGTAAACTGGCCGTAAATTACGGCAAGATAAGGACACCACCATTTGCTGTTTACGCTAAAGACGCCTTATTCCATCATTTGTGGGCAGGAACAGAAGTGTTAAAGTGTGTAAAACAACGAAAAATTACCTAATTTTGAGGTTTTTCAATAAATATAGCCAGTAGCCATCAGCTGACCAAATGACCCACGGCCGTTTATAGGCTGCCCATATTTGCGCCTTCATCTGACTCATCTAGACGAAAGCAGGGTTTTAAATATACCCTTTTGAAGCAGAGTTGAAGTTTCTCTCGGCCCATATTTGGAAATCGGAGATCAGGATTTAGGTAATTATACTATTGAAACACTGAGAAATTGAGCGTAGGCCATGATGTCGCGGAATTTTCAAATTTCAACACATTTTGTATGAGGTAGTGTTCAAGGCGGTTGTCATTCCGTTCACTTTTAGTAAGTAGGATACCTTTTTGATGTGTTTTTCCACTATTTTTAATTTTTGCCGTGTTTCCAAATAGTGTTCGTTCTTACTTGAGTCTACTTTTCATGTTTACATTCTGACTAGATTAAATGTTGGTCATGTTTTTTCCAAATTCGCAGTATCATTCGCCTCGGACAGCTGTCTTGAGATCTTACAATTAAAAATTGTCACCTTATCTCTCAATATAGCATAGGGAATGTAAATAGAATGTCGAAAATACTAGACTTCCTCCAGGCCCAAGCTTACAATAATGCTGAAGTAAATCTCCAAAATTCTGAACTAACTCTGACTTTCTATAATGAGCAGATCCTGGTATTGTTCTGAAATGGTTTGTTTGTTCGCGCAAACTACAACTTCTGGTTTTCAGCATGACCGGCACTCCGTCGGTGGCACAGTGGTTAGGACTCTCGCCGACCATGCACATGGTCCGGGGTTCGATCCCCTGCCGACGCACACCCGATATCTGTGGTCGGCCTGCGACATTTGGGCTACCGATATCCATGCTGAAAATTCCATACTTGTACTGGAAATACGGTGTGGCATCAAGCTGTAAATCGAAAAAATAAAAAATAAATTCAGCACCTTGGGCTTTTCTAGGCTTATTCAGAAGTAGCCCAGAACCCACTGCGTTTGTTACCAGCCTTATTTCAGCCGTCTCAGCCCGATTTAGCTCTGACCGACATTACTTCAGAACAAGAACTAGTTTGGTGCATACTGTCTAATTTTTCAGAGTGATTTAAGCCCTAAATTAACACTGACTTGCATCGTTTCATTGCCTGCGGGTACTATGGCGCAACTCACGAGCATTAGTTCAGCCATCCAAGTCATTTCCCCAAGAAACCTACGTATTTAACGCATTATGGAAACATTGATGGTGATTAACATATACAGCATTCTATGCTTACGTAATTCAGTGAGTTTGCAGAAATAAATCACTTTATTTTGAGAATTCCTTATTATTATAGTACAGTGTCACTGCACATCCGTTGAGTGAGGTCCGCTAGCAGCATTCTGCAAATAAGCAAAATGTAAAACTAATTGAGGAAAACGTCTGCTCATTATATTTGCACCGTTTATATTGAGAAAGGTGTGCTTAGATAACTGCCATTGTTACCTCCTATGGTTTTTTTCACTTACCTGAAAATATAAATAAAAATTGTGATTACTACATTTTGGTTAAACCATAGCTTTTAAAAGTAATTAGGCATTTTTTAATATTACCTAATTTCCTTTCTTCAACATACGCCTCTGGACATGATCTGTCAAATTACGAAAGTTAGATTTTGTAGCTATGTGCGTAACTTTGCCAACCTCTCTTAATGACATTAGTTGCCAGAGTACCCCCCCCCCCGTAATTACAGCTACAGAAGTAAATACTTCATAAATGGACCGTACATCTCATGATTTCATAGAAGACAGGGCACACTACCCGAAATGTAAGGTTCAAGCTCACTTCAGGTTTGAGAACAGTAACAACTTCGGATCACCCTGAAGGTAGCTAACCACTTTAGCTGTCTAAAAAGTTGGAATTAAGGACGTGAACTCACAAATATCCCCTTATACTTATCGTCCCTTAAAGATAATCCTAGCATCCATAAGTGACCGTCATTCGCTATCGGAAACTCCAGTGTGTAGTCATAGTTTGCTGAAACGGTTTGCAGTCGAGATTTGTTATTAATTGTAACAATATTCAGGATTTTCGTACAAAAATTGATAAGTTCCATTGATGATTCTTGAAATAAGTAATTGTTTGTAAGTACTTAGCGAGCCCTTTCCGCTGAAGAGTCAACATCATTCACAACTTCTGTAGATGACAATTTAAAGCAAGTATGCAGAATTTCACATTTATTCCTATTGGTTAGATACATTTGTTATCTTAGGAGATGAGTGGAAGTTCGGGGCATGTGAAGTACTTAAAATGGATGGCATTTAATTAAGTTAAAAGTTTGGACTGGAGGGGGTGGGACAAAGTCATCAAATATATATTGAAAACTGAAAATTGTAGTTCCATGCAACCAACTTCACTGGCAGCTACGTCAATATCCATAGAGTTGTAAAAAAGACCTTTGTCAGTTTTCTTTGCATCCCTAAAGAATATTTAAGACACAGAAAATGGTACCTTTTTGGTTTATTACTAGGTGTTGGCAAGGTATCGTCGTCAGGGTCTACATTTTATTCCTTTGACCATGTCTTCTCAAAAGTTGTACAGGCTTTTGAGACTTCTCATAAGTATCTAGAAAGGTTACAATAGAAGTATTCCAACTTACCATACTCCTGAAGTTGACAGAATTCAAATAATGTCCATCCGTCCCGAGTATACACAGGCTCTAAATGTGTAGTTTTTTTGTATGCACATAAACCACTTCGCAATACCCACTTGTTTGGGATAGCGACTATATTGTCGTCTTTCAACAAACAGACGACGAGAAATCCAACTGCTGGTGAATTCTGCTAAAGGAAATTAACGAATTGGAAATACGGCAGTGTTACTTTAATGTATATCAGGTTGCTGAGCAAAAATCAACAGCATATATATGTACCTATATTTCAAAAATTCCGAATAAACTGTCAAATGAGCTGCAGTTCGACGAACAGCATTAACTGGTTAGAGGCAGACATTCAGACTTGACAACACATAGATGTTACAAAATAATGTAGATGAATTACGTGTCAACAGTTCAAGCAACAAATTTGCTAATCCGATAACTTACTGCATAACATCTTTATTTAAAAGTATAAAGCAGGGGGATGACTACTTCGTCATTATGACTGGTTTCAACGTAGAACTTTGCAACGATATGCAGCAGTTCGAGTCACCACTCTTCACTCAGCACACAAAGCCAGAGAAGAAAGTAAAAAGAAACGCAAAATAGAGACAGTAAACAGAGATATGAGGCTAAGAGAAAAGTAATGTCGAAAAACAATAGTTTTATTGGAAATTATAACTCAAAAGGAGTGGATTCATCTGCGCCATTGAGGATGATTTTGAGCCATTGTTGTTTACCGTCCCGAGGACCCTAACCGGGAAGTCTACACCTTCCTACGTGACTGGCTTAAAATAACTTTGTGGATTTCATTGACTGATGAAGCCATGTTTTGGTTTGATCACCACTAGCTCTTCTCCAACCTGATCCATTCTGTCAGCTAACATTGCCCGTCGAGGAAGGTGATGGCTGGGTATACGTAACACATGTCCTAACCATCTCAGTCGATGTAATTTCACAGCCTCGTCGACTGATTTCCCTTCCTTACCTAGCACTCGATGCCTAACCTCAATATTGCTCATCCTATTATACTATTTCACATGGGAGATAGAACACAGGCACCTGTGATCAAAGACAACTAGCCAGGCTTTTCATGCCTTCCACTTTCAATGGCCAGGTCTCATATCCATAAAGAAGACAGTGCGAACTCCCGAGCAGTACACACGTTCTTTGGTCGATAGCCGGATATCACGTCTACGCCAGAGACGGCGTAAACTGGCATATGTGAAACTAGCCTTCTGTATCCGTGCTGAGATTTCATCAGGGATCAACTCGTTTGGGGCTGATGCAACTTCCCAAATAAGTGAATTGGTCAACACGCTCTACCACTTCACTCCCTATTTCTAAGCTAGGATTCAACGTAGTCCAGTCCTGTAGCATCATCTTACATTTCACTGACAGGAGCGAATCGCATGCCAAACATTCGCAGACTGCAGGTCAAGGAGTTCAGAAGACCCTCCATTTTTTCAGCGTCTTCACCTAGAAGGACCATATCATCTGCATATTCTAAGTCAACAAGACTATTATACCCTGGTAACAACTCAATCCCCGAGTCGCTGAAGTCAGTTAGGGTTAAGTCCATCAGTACATCTATGATGAAATTGAATGGAAATAGGCATCCCTGTCGAACACCACTAGTTGTTACCAGTTCAGATGACAACTCGCTGTAAGCTCTCACCTGACTGCATGAGTTTGAGTAGAGCGCCTTGATCAGTGCAATGTAATTTCTCGGCATTCCTTTTACAACCAAACATCGCCAGAGTACCTCTCGGTCGACAGAATCGAATGCCGCCTTTAGGTCAAGAAATGTGACGATTGTTGGATGCCGGTAAGTATGCCTATGTTCCAGAATCTGTCAAAGGGTGAAGATATGATCAATACACCCTTTTCCTGGTTCTCTCATGTTTGTGCCTCCCGAGCACCACTTAGTCTACGCAGTATTATTAAGCCTAGGACTTTAGATACCACATTAGTCAAGCTAATCCTCCTGTGATTATCACAGGAAGACTTGTCTCCTTTCTTGTATGTGGGGATAATCAATGATTTACACCAATCCGACGGGACTTCCTCTGACTTCGTCATTATGCGTTGGAACAGTCATGCACTTACAAACAATATTCAGATAGGATATCCAGTGTTTCGTGATTAAATTTCGAACATCTGAATATCCCTAAATTCCTGTATTTAAATAATGAAATGAAATCATCACTGAAATCACAGTATGTTTGAAAGCGAATATCACCTTCACTTTCCATTTCCACTATAATCCCTGGATCGCCTAAAGCAGAGATGGTATTATCCGGTGAATAAGATGTAAATATGGTGTTCAAATGTCATCTTTCCTTTGGTAAGGTCAACGCTCTTAGTACCAGCTTCTTTAGGTACATGCTTGACACCTATTCTTTTCATTAAGTACACGTGTCCAACATAACGCTGAACTGCCTGCTTAGCCACAGCATATCCACAGTAAAAGGACCGTTCAATCTTACGCATATAGGATTCAAAGGGAAATGCACTAAATCCTTCTAATGGCCCATGCAGCTCGACGTCATCAGCTATATGTTTCAGGGAATGAATATTGCAATGTTTTCACTTCCGAAACAATTCTCATTTTGCGGTAAGAAATCACTTAAATCTGTCCGAGCAGCACCCAAAGACACGTCTGTATTTGGTACGCGACAGTAAGTATACTGCCAGGGATAGTCTACGGCAATTAGAGTGCAGGGGCGGTGGCAGTGTTCCTGAGTAGGACGGGACCAAATATAATAGGAAAAGCTTACACCGTTGCCTTCCATTGGCTAACCTTATATAACGATCGACATTTCCTCTGGAGATCAGAAAGAATGTGGTCCATTATTTATATTTGCAATCTATTTGCTTTTCTCGCCAAAGGAATACCAACTTCTTAACAACACCAAGGTGTATAAGATGATCCAAAGGAAATGATTTAACCATGTTGTGTTAAGTCCTCAAGACAAGTTCTGCCCCGATGGTGACTTGCTTGAACCTTACCACGGAATGTACTATCATTTCTCAGGGTATGGTTGCCATTAGGAAATGTCATCCTTCCCTCCAAACGGCGACCGATGACTTCACACTTATCACAACCTATTTTACCGGTGAAAGTCCTTGGAAAAAGTATCAAAAAATATGTACTGTCAAACAATTTTTTTACGTAAATGTGATTCGTTTTCACTCATTCTTATCTGCAAAATACAAACCACAAGCTTTTTTAAATGAGTGATCCGACATCTTTTCTACTTAAAAATATCAGACTCCGAGGTTCATTGCATCAAAACCATTCATAGATTCAACAATCAAAAGTGATTTTTGGCAGATAACTGTATTCAAGATGGTGTGTAATGCAATGTCTTGCCCACCTTGGAGTATTCGTCTCATTTACTAAATAATTAGACTTAATTGCATCCCTAAATGCGAATTTCCAGGCAACTGGATATTCATAAATTCTCTCTGTATATGCAAGTGATTGCATAGCTAGTAGCTGTTTAATCACGCACTGTCGTCAATTACGGTCATTACCAATCTATGGTGCGTTTATTCATGGTCCTTCAACAGGTATATTTGTAGTTGTTAAGCAGTTGAGAAACAAATTAATGCTGCTATTTGGCATGTGATGAGTGTCCCAGTAAGCTCTGGACTAACTGTTGTGATTCCTAGGTTTAAGCACTAGACTTTCAGCTAGTGAGCAGTAGTTTCAAGTCCCGTTCCATCTAATTCAATCCGGGCGACTGTGTAATTCCACTAACCCTCACAGTAAATGTAGTTCGTAAACTGGTAGGTAAGGTTGTTTTGCGTGGATGAGTTGAAAATAAGGAGCCTAAGATGAGTGGCTTCTGCGGGCTCTTATCTTTTCTGTACTGACTGGATGGGTTTTCCCCGTACATCTTAGCACGGCAATACAGCCATCCAAGTTGCCGCACTATGTTTCATGCACAAGTAGAAGGAAAATACAAATGGAACCATAGTAAACGGAAGCTTATGGGAGAAGGAATAAGTGTATGGGAATAATGAGAATTCTCCATATGCTTTCCCATATTACTGTCATCTAATATATATCTTCTATTTTCTTTTTCTCTTATTACAAGTTCGACTTTTATGCTCTTGTCACAGGTGCTACATTTTCTTTCAAAATAGATTTCCAAAAAATGAGTTCCTTTAGTTTTGTATACTTATGGTGGTTGGAAGTTATTTGATTACTTTCAAAATGTTGCACTGGGTTACTCAGTGTGAGAAATGAATTGTAGAAGGTTCGTTATATTTTTTAGTGAACCGGCTCACCAAGATGTTTTGAGAGGAAAGAATCAAGTTGTTGGTAGCATATAAGAAACGAACATAGAGTTTTGTTGGTTGCAGAATACGAAGAGCTCTTCGTAATTACTTCAATGATTATTTGGAAATTATGGAAACTTAAATACAAGTACAAAGTAAAACGTGCTGATTATAATGAATCATCGATGAGTCTCCCATATTTAATATCCAGTTTCCAGCCAGTACCTATTTAATATTTACTAACCTGATGTGCAATAGATCCAATCGATTTAAAGTACTTTTGTCTCAGTATATTTTACTGCAAAATACTTGCGAATATTTGCTTCAAGTAAAACATCCGGTAGTACTCGACCGTGATTTATTCCATGTAGTTCCCAGCCATAGAGGTCTTACTACGTACATCAGCCAACCAACTTAGATGGATTCGTGTCACGTAGGATGTCTATCTTGCCGATAATCTTTTGAATTTTGGGGTGGTTCGACTTCAGGTAGTATCTATGGTTTTCGTTTCCGTATAAAAATAATAAGCGTAATTAAGTGCAAAGTTTGGCGGAGTCTATTTTTCTTCAGCAAAATTTTCGTCACTGCCCACGGGGTCAAAAAGAATTTCTGGGTGTCAGCTGTATTATAGTATTATCATAATCTTGCCACCTCATGTAATTAAATCGAATAAATTCCCTATTGCGTGCTCTGGTGGTAGTATTGTTGAGGTTTACTTGTGAAGTAATCATTCAAATCCACCTGAATATCTGGAGTCATTGGCCTTATTCGTTGCTTTTTCAATTGGTCATTATAATTTGCTAACTTTAAAAATTTAATCACATGGAATAATCGAGTTTGTCACCTAATATCTTGTATTCCATGTTTTATAGAGCACAGTGTTCTCTCCATATGATGTCTCTGAATTTCAATTTCGTTGTGCGAAATAAATCTTCCAAATGAGCATGATTACAATGCATTTTCTCCCTGGGGAGAAAGCTATTAGTACCAAGTCAATAGCTGATGGGATCTTAATTCTTACAAATTATCGGATCATATTTTCAACCAGAAAGCCTCACAGTTCATGGAGTATACCCCTTACATTAGTATGGAAAGCTGAAGCATTCGAAATGATTCATATCAAAATTATAACAAAAATTGGTATATCGGTTACGTAAGTTCTATTGTGTTTTGATATTCGTTCCTTATCCCCCATGTAGCTGGTCATTTTTAGATGAAATTGCATGTGACGCAGGATACAATCATATTACATCATTAATTGATATACCTAAAGATATTGATTCTTTGTTTGCTTGTAAATTTCGTTCATCTCTGGAAGCCAACATTCCAAGTCATCCTTTCCTTTTAAGTAAGTGTAGTTTCTTCTTTTCACTAATTTTTATTTAACTTTAGGTGCCTGTGAACTGTTGCAAATAAATGGTTAGTTTACATTCACTTGTCTTTAATAATTTTAATTAAAATTACAGATGTAGATAGTGCGTTAGATACAGCCTTAGTATGTTTTGAATTTCGCCGAATGAACTTCGATGAGGCATGGAAGATAACAGATATTAACAATGAATTCAAGTATTTTATGACATTCTCTTCTCCTTATGGTCCATTTTCTTTTAGAATTTGTTCCACATATCCTAGACATCATATTGTACCACGGTCGATCAGTGATAATGATATCATTAACATGGCGAGCTTTCGAAGTCATAATCGATTTCTAACAGTTGTTTGGCGGTAATTTTTAATGTAACAATTTAATGTTTCTCTTATAGTTCTCAAGTCACTGGAGCTGTTTTGCTTCGTTGTGCTCAACCTTGTGTCGGACTTATGTGTTCACGAAATGAATATGATGAGAAATTCTTACGAACTGTTCTTTCTTGTTGTCCAAAGAAACCTGTTGCTAATCCCAACAAAGGTGTGTATGTATGCATAAATGTTCTGTTTATGTGCTCAGTGTAATTGTGATTTTACTGTTTTCTTGTTCTTAAACACTAGTTATTTTTGCATGTACCACAACCACTTATTCAGAGTTTATTGCATAGACTTTCATGATCTTAGTAGGCTGTATGTCCTGCAATATGTTCGAGTAATGTCGAGCGAACACAATACGCATATGTATCTTATGGTTAATTTAAGTGATATTCAATGTGCTGACATATTACTTGTACTTGGCTTAGACACCCGATTTTTTTATCAGATGGGTTGTGAGTTCGAATCCCACTACACCTACTTCAGCTTGTGCAACTGAGTGGGCTCACAACCCTCATTCGATAAGCGCGGCGCATAACCTAGTTTTCTATAGTTTGTTTTGTAAGGATTAGTTATGTTTTTACCAGTTGATCACGGATTGATATCAGTTAGAGAACCATCGAAAACTAGGGAGTACTGGACAGCTGCTGTTTCATCCTAGTTTGGGAATCATCAGCAGTGCGCACCCACTGCCAGGGTTCGAACCCAGGACCTTCCGGTTACAAGGCAAGCTCGTATACCATTCAACCACTGGGACCCGATTCAATGGCCCATGAATTCTAACTTCTACCAATTCGTGATTTAGCGCGACCCCAACCATTGTCGTTGATGCCTATCAGAAGTGCTAAATATCACCATTTGTATTCAATGTTTTCTTTAAATGTACTAATCTAAGTTACTGTTTAATTTCGAAAAATCAGGAATTAATTCCCTACTGCATAAAACTCTGATTTGGAGCTAGAAATACAACTCATTGGCTTGAGTATTTGGTTTCCAGCCAGTGGGTAGCTGTTTCAAATCTCTCTCTACCTAATTCAGCCTAGGCAAGTGAGTAGTGTTACTAGCCCTCATACTGTGAGTGTGCCTCTTAGTTTAGTTCATGAAAAAAGTTGTTCCAGGTAGGTAAGTGGGTTGACTTGCAGTACGCATATGGTACAGTTTTATTTTAGAAGAAGGCGCTGACAGAATACTCAGTTTTCTGAACAACGAGTGAAAAAATGGATGCCTTGCACACACTCCTCCCGTCAAATGTAACATGATACTACCGAGCTGATTTTCCTAGTTTAAAAACAGAAAGTCAAATGTTTGAATAGGTTGGCCACTTGACTTATCTGTGAAGCTGCATCAACCCTAATCGACTGGTTGCTGACGAAATCTGAAAGCGGATACCAAAGGCTCCTTTAGCTTTCGCAAACTTTTATCATATTTAATACACTGAGGATTTACACTTTCCCGTCAAGATGCATATGTTTTTCATGTGTTTCTATCCATTTAACTTTATGATTATATGAGTCATGGTGACGGACATTTCTTCTTTCGGTAGAACTAGTTGTGGAGTTTAAAGTAAGGGGGTTTAGTCAGCTGATGAAATTGTTTATTACAGATGCCACACTGTTATCTTCGATCAGTAAGATTAAGTTGGAAGAGTTACAAGGAGTTAGATTAAAATATGACATCAATCTATAAATTCGCGTACTGTTGGTCTGAGTTGCTACATTGTCAGTTGCCTGACTGAAGTCATCGGAGGCTAATAATCAATGGTCATCATACAGTGTTAGTTATTTCTTTTACTGGCTGTTCACTGGGATTCTTCACGTCAATACTATCGTTGTCTTAAGTTTTTACATTTTAATATACAACGAATGGATTTTATGGACATACATTGTAATTGTGCACGTGATTAGCTTACGTCTTTTATTTTCTTGTCTCATTAGCATAAAAATTCTTTTTAGTTGTAGTCGGCTCCTTTATTGAAGCGGAAGCTGCTTACATGTCATTAAATATTACTAAATAACGGGTTGCTGAGTAGCAATCTGTGATTTATGAATACATTACTCGACAATTCCGCATGCATTATACTGCTTTTAATGATTAAATGCCTAAATTGTGAGAAATGTTTCTATTCTTACCACCTATATCCAATGCAGTATAAATGGCTCAGAAAGCTCACTTATTATGGATATAGTTGTCACACCTCGCAATAAAGTCTACTTCTGAAACTGACTTAATCTGGTTACTACGAATTTAACGGACGAATATACGTTGATATTTTTTTAAATTTGTTAATCTCTAGATACTCATCGATTAATGATAGTGGATGCAAGAAGTCGTAGTAGTGCACAATTCAATCGTATACGGGGTGGTGGTTTCGAATATCCAGAATATTATGATCAGGCTGAAGTTGTTTTCATGGATCTACCTAATTTGCATACAGTGCGTTCAAATTTTGAAGCCCTCACCAACCTATTTGCTGGTAAATGTCCGAAGTAAGTTTCCTGCAGTACCTTTTTCTAATGAAGTTACCTGTACTACGCTGATTATTTTTGAAGCAGAATTGCTTCATTTTACTGTACGTGCGTTTATTCCTCTAAATATAACAGTCAGTTGAATTATTTAGATTTCTTTGGCTAAATCCTTGCCTAGAGTGTGAGATGTTTTAATGAGAAGATAGCTCGTTTGTGTATTGCCTTAGCACAAGATATGAGATCTCAAATGGTAGAATAATGGATTCAAATATTTCACGTTTAAATTGCCAATCTTCAAGCACGAGTGATTGCACATACTCCAGTGTGATTACAATTTTCACCTACGACATGTGACTTGTTGACTTAAGCACTCAACTCCCAAGTTTGAATCCTTCTCCACCTATTTCAGTTGAGGCAGCTGTATATCATCAGCCCCTCACACTATAAGTGTGCGTATTTATGAGTCTGTCGGGGTAACTGGGTTTCCTGCTCCACCCCCTGTGTTCTATGACCTTTATGAAGATCCCACAAAATTGTTACCTTTTTTTGTCTCGAGCATTGAAGTTCTTAAAAATCTGATGCTCCCTTGTGTGAAAATAGGCGCTAACAGCCATATGTTTTGTCACAGTTCATTGGAAATTCATTGTCTTATTCTCTATTTCTAGCTTTGTTATTGTTCAGTCAGTAATTTTATTGTACGTGAACACTGCTTCAAAATCATTCATGCTAAGCTGAGAGGGATACCACATTACCTCAAGTGATTTCATTCTTATCATCCATCTTAAACTTTTGAATTATCATAGGGTTAACTGTTTTATGATTATTTACAGTTGTATTTCATTCATATGGCATTACATTGTAATTAAGAATATTTTGTGAAGAATAAACACTTTCCAAAGCCTTTTGAATTGTTTACACCCAATTGCAATTTTTGTTTTGTTTTAATGATAGTGAGTCATTATTTTCACTTTCTGAAATTATCTGCCATTTTAATACAAAATTCAATCTGCTTCAGTGATATTTTCTGAGAGATTGTGAATGATAACTTCACCAAAATATTTCGCAGTTAGAAATAAAAGTGTATATTTATTTGGCAGATAAATTTGTTAGATTATAATATCTTTAATTTGCTACTGCCTTCTTACGTCATTGTCGCATACTTTACTACTACTTTGTGACTAATTAATACATGCTATTAGATTATTCTGAAGGTGTAGCATCGACAAGAAATGATAGGTTTGCCGTTTGGGGATTTCCGTGTATATATCTATTGTTTAATTATGCTACAGATTACTGTTATGGCAGAGGTGTTGTCATATAGATTGTTAAGGTGTTGCAACTCCATATCCTCATTTTATGCTTAAACGCAAAAATTTCTATCTAGTATTATCTTTTCAGTTGTACAAAACTTGTTTCACTCGTAAAGGTAAGACCGTGATGTTAGGATCTCATATTAGTGTAACAACAGAAGACAAGGGCCAGGCAAGAGATCGTTTATTAAGGAAATCAACACATATTTACAGACTTTCATGTACATTATTATAGATTATTGTTAGCAGACAAACATAGTCTTCTGATTGGTTGTTTCTCACTGAAAGTTAATCTTTCATCTCTTTGTGGCTGTTTCTTGAATGTCAGATCGTCCATATGCTAATTGTATACGCCTGCGCAAAGTCTGCTGTGGTTGGTTGTTGAATCAGTCTTTGTTCTTATTTTTCTCATGACCAATATTGGGGACGTAAACATTGACGCAAATTATACTGTCTACCAATTTGGCTAGCAGCCAGCTCTCACTACATTAGGACACATCTTGTAGTGTAGTCTGATACGTGACCGGATTGATTGTCAACTTAGGACTTTGCACAGAAATGCAACAGTTCAACTCGCCACGCTCCATATAGTACATGAGGGTAGTGGAAAAGAAAAGAAAATTCAAAAGAACCATAACGAACAGAAATATACAGGAGGAAGAAAGAAAAATTACATGAAGAAAAAGTTGACTTAATGGATCTTGGAAATTACATACGCTGGATGCATCTAAGTCATTGAGAAAGGTTTCGAGCTGTATCACCAACAGTTTCCAGTCATTAGTTCTTGCTATCCCGAGGACCCGATGAAGGCCTTAAGCTAACAACTAAATACTTCATGGATTGATGTCAGGTTTTGACTTGACCAACCGTAACTCTTCTCCAATCTTATTTTATGTCAGGTAATGTTGATTGTCGGAGAAGACGGTGGCTCGGTATGCGTAATACGTGTCTTAGCCATTTTGGTTGATGTAGTAATCTTTTACATGGTGGTTTACTTAGATATTGTGTTACATAATATTGGGTCACTGTTGATTTTTTATATTTCGTCTTCCATACTACAATCTGTATGAAAATATTTTAGGGTTGATTAACTGTCTTTAATATTTCGTATTCACATTGTAGCTGGTTCTCTTCACTGGAAAAATCGTCCTGGTTAAATAATATTGGTCAACTTTTGAAAACTGCCACAGAAATAGCTATCGCCTTGGAGGAAAATGCTCGTCCTGTCATGGTCCACTGTACAGATGGTTGGGATCGTACGCCTCAAATAAGTTCTCTGGCTCAGCTGTTAGCAGATCCTTTCTATCGAACAATCCAGGTAAGCAGTGACCAGTTCTGATTATTTGTAACTAAGTTGTGAATTAATAGGGGAAAAATAGTACAACCTCAAGTTGAATGTGTTCCTTTATATTTTTTCTTCTTTTGTAGGGTTTTAATATTCTTGTTGAACGTGAATGGTTGCAGTTTGGACATAAATTTGCTGATCGAAGTGGACATCCTTCACTTTCATCAAATTTGAATGAACAAAGTCCAATATTTTTACAATGGCTTGATTGTGTACATCAGATTCGCAGGCAATTTCCTCATTGTTTTGAATTTAATGAATCATTTCTGGTAGGTGTTTCTTCACTAATTATAATTCTTGATATGCCTAGATCACTTGATCACTTCTATTTGTATCTGATATATATTTGTTTTGAGCTCCACTGACTATTTCTTTACATATTATAATGGTGGTCAACATTTCGGATTGTTCTTTTTTCAATACTAAGAGCTTACGTTGATTTGTCACAGGATACTGATCGATAGAGATGTCACTCATTCATTGATTTAGGCACCCGACTTCCAACAGATGGGTGCAGAGTTGGAATTCTTATACGCCTGCTTCAACCTGGGCAAATGAGTATTATCATCATTCCCTACACGATATATGTGACTTAAAACCCGACACCAGCTAACTGGGTTCCAACTGACTAACAGTATAATTTGAATTCTGACTAGATTTGGTGGTTCACCTTCCCAGTATATTATGATTGATGTAAGGTATTGAAAGTAACTGTGGACTGAATGTTAAGTGATTGTCACTTGACTGGTGACCTTGAGTCTCATAAGTAAGTTAGTAATGACATCTCAGACCTGTTCATCATCCTTGATTGGTTTAATATCTGGAAAGAGACAACATGGTTCTATTACGCGAAGTTAGACTAAATACAGGATTCTTCTGTATGCGAGTTGCTTTAGTAGTTCAGCAGTTAGAATGTTCGCCAACCACGCATGTAGTCCGCGGTCCGACTCCCAGCCGACTGACTCCTAAACCTTGCTAAGCTGGTAGCAAGACCGATAAAGAGGGGCGGTTGGGTGTGAGGCCAGCAATGCCACCCAGTAAAGAGAAATGACAGCATTGCTACTCCGACTTCAAAGCTTAAGCTTGAAGCCTTATTTTCCACTGGGAACTCAAAGCAGCAAAATAGAATAATAATCTGTTTTACAAAGCAATTTCATCACTTTGTGAGTAACCTACCATGCTTATCTCCACTAACGCAAACATCAAATGTGACGAGCATTTTGGTTAAATTTCTTCAATGAAGATGCTTTGTATTATACTGTGCACATAGTTTCCGCCTGTGTAGAGGGACATTATAGGTATTATTTATTCCATAACCTATTCCTATGTATATCTTATGTATATGAATAATTGTAAATATGCTTCCTCGTATATGTAATTTATCGCATTGATAATACCTGTAAACTGACGTCCCTCATGTACAAAAACAGAATATATTATTATTATATTAGCTTGTGTAAAAGAGAAGACGTTCAGCGAAGAGACTCTTTTTAGCGAATTCATTCACATAGCTGTACAATCGCATTTATATGTAATTATTTGTGTGTGTGTACATGAGGTTTGTTAAGTTTAGATAATTGATCAGGTAATACAAGAATGATCTAATATAGAAACAAGGTTAATCAGACAGCAACTAAAGTAAGATTGAGTTAGTAAGTTAGGTGACGTAATATAATTGACTAAAATGTTTCAACTTAGGTCAGGGTAGCAACAGAGGTAATTACAGATAGAGACTAAGTAGAAGTGGGGTAGAGAATAATGCCATTTAAATTAGAACTGAAATTGAGCAAATAAGTTGGATGACGTAACATAAATGACTAGAAATTGAGCGTTGTTCAAGTCAGTAACAGTGTTAGGAGGTGTAGGAATTAAATCGGGTGGGGGTAGAGGACAAGAAAGTTTAAAATGTAAAATATTACAATTGAGAAGACAAAATAATGCGAATGAAGAGACAGTAAAAAAAGATTAGGTAGAATTTATTCATCGGGTAATAAGATAGATTACGTCCATTACAAGTGTAGTGATTGAACGAACTTCTGTATGCAGAGTTAGGACTTAGCAAGTGAATCGCCATTGCTTCTGTACTTTGAAGAAGTCTGATCCGTACACCTTTAGGAAGACTACTTCTTACTCTGTAGACGACTTTGAAGTTTGTTTGCGGTGTAGCTTGATGTTCGGATTCTATCAGATGTTCTGAGATGAAGCTGCGGGGGCATCGATTTTCTCTTTTGTACAACTATGTGGGTATGTGTTCGGTGATACGTTTGGAAAGCGAGTGCTGGGTACGGTCGACATACCTGGCTCCACACGAGCATGTGTCGAAAAGAAGGACATCTGTTGCAAAAAGGAAATCACTTTAGTAGGAAATATCAAGTCGTCCTTTCTTCTCAACGTGGCAACATTTCAACACAGTTCAGCTGAGAAACGTTAACGCTCGCAACCGAACACACATGTAAAGAGTGCATCTCAGTCAGATTAGACCAATATGTCATCTTTGCGGTTCACAGTTTTCTGCACTTTAGACAAAATTTTACACAATTTTATTAGAAATTACTTCTATTGAAGGATTTTATTGGGGGAAATTTTAACGATAAAAAATCATCACTTTTCTACAACAAAGGGAGGTGGTGATATGACAACATGCCGTTTACAGGCAGTCATGCAATTTATTTTAATCCTCTTTTAAATAGCTTTTTCAGTTCAAAGTGTTTTTTTTTGTGTCCCTTATCAATGTGTAGCAAACTCTTTCTCAAAAGTTTTGATAGTTCTAAATTGTGAAGAATCATTATAATCTTGGATTTTTCGTTGCTTTCGTTTTTTTTACATTTTACAGCTAAAACTTGGTTTACATATTTGTTCAAATCTGTTTGGTACATTTCTTTGCAATTCTGAACAAGAACGACAAAAAGCTTCAGTCGCCTCTCGAACATGTTCTTTGTGGGGTTTACTTTCACCAAAATATAATTGGACTATTGTGAATTACTTTTATGAGCCAGAAGCTGAAGTTAGTTTTACCCACTTTTGTTTTCCTCTTAGAAAAGCAATTTCAAGTATTAACATTGACTAGAAAACTGTTCTTTTAAGTACTGTCTGTTTCAAATAGGATCTCTCTCTGCCTCTGTGTGTATTTTATTTATCTCTGCTACAGCTGTTTTGGTTAATCATGATTATAGAGTATCAGCAGACTTTCATAGTGATACAATTACGAGCTAAAATGTATTGAGATCAAATCTTTTTTTTTCCTTCACGTTCCCCAGTGGAACATAGGGTTTCAAGCTAGAAGCTTGAAGTTTCTGTAGCAGTGTTTATTTTACAGGATGGGGTTGCTAGCCTCATGCCCAACCTTTCGTCTTTACCAGCTTCTATTTCTGGTTTAGCGAGGTAAAGGAGTGCGCTGGCCGGGAATCAAACCCCAGACCATGTGCATGGTCGGCCAGCGTCCTATGCCTGTATGCCTATAGAGCACATTATTGAAACGAAATGAGGCATAACTCTGTCGGCATAAACACACGTAGTAAGTTGTTTGTGAAACCTGCTGAAGAAAGGTGTCTCTACTTTCAGCATCAACGAGTGAAACACTTAAGCTGTTTACGAATCTCTTCAGTTATATAATTCAGTTTATGGAGTTTCCTAGTGGTGCTCTATCAGGCAACAAGTGTGTACCTCTAAGGTTTATCTTCAGATTTACGCTCGGTTTTTGGATGACACTATGTGTAGTAACTGTATAATCCATTGTATGTGTTTGTGGAATTTTGTTAACTTGTTTTGTGAGTTAAAGGATTCAAAGTTGTACTAAATGGAACTTTTATATTCAAACTTTTGATCCAACTGATGAAAATGGTGTGATATTCGTATGCTATCTAGTGAAGGGTAGAATACTTTAGACACTGCACCGTTTACTACTGTTTGTTGCCTACAAATTCACCTTTTTTTTCCTTCACGTTCCCCAGTGGAACATAGGGCTTCAAGCTAGTGGCTTGAAGTTTCTGTAGCAGTGTTTATTTTACAGGATGGAGTTGCTAGCCTCATGCCCAACCTTTCCTCTTCACCAGCATTATTTCTGGCTTACCGAGGTAAAGGAGTGCGTCTGCGGCCTGGGATCGAACCCTGGACCATGTGTATGGTCGGCGAGCGTCCTAACCGCTATGCCACCGACGCAAATTCACCTAGTGCATCTAAAAAAAAACACCAAGTATACAAAGAATTTTACGGTTGTTCATCAAACCTAATCTCTCAGGATTCTCTTTGAGTTATACAAAATTTCCCTCAGGCAACTAATGCTTGAACTTGTAGACCGTTATCGTGTTTCATTTTCTTTGCTTCTATTTTGGTCCTTTAAGAAAAAAGACATGAGTTCAAGGTTGAGAGTAACTTAAAGTTAACATAGATCTATTTGTGCATGAAATATCCTAGTGTTAATAACATTTTCCAGAATGCTTTTAGACATATTTGTTTATCAGATATCAATCGTGTTTTTAGGGGAATTGTTTTTGTCAATGGATTTTTTCTCATAATCCTTACTAATTACTGTAGAGCTGTGGCTTTTCCTCGACCTAGACTCTCACCTTCCAACCATTCGTCTAAAGGTTCAAACTCTGCTCCACCTGCCTTGCTTTGGACACTCAAGTAGTAGTATTACTAAACCTCATACAATAGGTGTATCTCCTTGCCATTATCTTGTTTGTATAAAAGTTCAATTATAGGTTTCCAGGTCGTAGGTGTTACGAACTTCCTGGAATAATTTGAGCGCCGAGTCAGATTGATTGATAATAAATTATTTACATTAATCCCAGCGTGTTAAGAAAATCAAAACAAGATTTTTCTGAACGTTTCGCCGTGTAAGCCACAGCTTCTTCAGTAGATTTTCTGCTGTGGCTTACACGGCGAAACGTTCAGAAAACCTTGTTTTGATTTCTTAACACGCTGGGATTAATGTAAATAATTTATAAAGTTCAATTATCTAGTAGGTGTTATGTGATGCAATGATGTGACGAATGCTATTCACCAGAGCTAAAAGCATACAATACCATATGTTCAGAAAGTGTTAATTCTCGTATCACGTATTAATTTTCTTAAGTATTATTACTTAATTTTGATTTCACGTTTGTTTAACTTCTCAACCAAAAAAAGAAACAAGTAATTTTTAGTTTTAAAATTCCACTATATTTTTAATTAATGATTATTGGCTTATCGATTCATGATAATAATAATAATAACTTCACTACACCGTGGTCAGTCAGTCACCTTACTATTGGTTAAATAATGAAAAAGAAATTATTGTCACGTGCAGAACAATATGATTAAGTGCACGTGGTGGTCTCTGTGTGTGTGTGTGTGCTCTAGAATAGCCTCTAGTGAAGATTAACTTCCATCTGTTTTTAAACAATCAGTAGTGATCATTTATTTTTGTGAATGAATCATCTACTTTTTTTCTCTCTCTTTGTATCTCACCCTTCTTGTGTACACAGACTTGGCAGTTAATGTATTTATAGCACTTACAATATATTTTATCTATCGTGTTATGTTTCTCTAAACCACATTTGATGTCTCATTAATCATCAATCAATTCAGTGGTTAAACTGGAACACCTACTAAAAATTTAAGCTAATTTGACATCTGATAGGTATTTTCTTGGGGTACCTGAAATAGAAAGAGAACTAGTGTTGCTTGACCACAAAGCCGGTCACACACGGCCTGTTTGAATTGGTTTTTAGAGTTTTTTTCTCGTATTGGTAAATTACCACCGGCTACGAACCACTGTACTGCAAGTCGAGATGTACAACTTTTGAGTCTATCTTTCCTAACCACCCCCTCTCCAAAGTGAAGAGGCAGCATAACCGGCATACTGGTCATCCCAGTTTCTCAGCTGTATGACTTTGCCCACAGATGCCAAACGTAGTGTAAACGAATTATACTATGTTGATAACTGCTTTTAGTCTAATCGTTATCCTAACAACTTTTGTGGCATGGTAGGACCTGCAGAAACACTGGTTCCAGCAAGTGTAGCTTGCTGTGTCACTTCGATATGCAAATCCGACCACCACGTCAAGGTAGCGGCTATCGGCTAGCACGTCTGATAGGCAAGTTGGAGATAGACTTTCAACAAGGTCTTCAATTGAATAAATGAAACAAAGGCTACTGTATATGGTGTAGACCACCCATAACAAAATATAGACCAGTGTTGGATCTTGTTCAGTTTGTTTAGAGTTGTCATGTATTATTCTCCTGAAATACTTTTGTTTGACCAAAAAAGAGGCTTTCAGTGCCTGTAATTCTTGATGGCTAGAGTATTACTTCGTATACTTACATCATCACTTATTACCTATGAACTGAATACTCGCTTAGTCGGTGAGTCGCACACTGGAAGTCGTCATTTGCTTAAGCCGGTATATTAACCTTAGTGGAAGATTGGAGGCTATAAAAAGTATACACAGTATATCAAAACATATAGTATTATTTAATTACCCAAGCTGAAATGACTGTTTTTGGGATTTCAATCCAAGAAGCATTAATTGACAGTTGTGCGTTTGTGTCAGTAAACCACAGACTTGGCGAAATGACAAGCCATAGAAAATTGGTTAAGTTTTGTCTGACACACAATCCACATACTGTTTAATATCTAAGATTACGATGGATATCTATATTCTATTAGAGTTGGGAGTTGTACTAAGGGATAAATTGTGAAGTATGAATGGGACGAACTAGTAGCAGAGAGACACCAATTTTACACGTATACTTTTGTATTGTGACCCATATTAGCAAAAATAGATAACCGACATGTATTCCTTGGTCTCTGATTAAATTCGAAATGGTATGAAAATAAGCATGTTTGTAGCAAAATCTCAAGAAACAGTAACAAAAATAAAACCTACTCTGTATGCTTTAATAATTTATTTCATGGACATTGAATCCGATGCATAGTACTCAGATCTCAGTCATGTGGTTATACACTATTCGTTCTAAGGCATTGGTCAACCTTGCGTATGTTAATGACCTAACTGGCTTTACTAGCTGGAACTAATGTTCTTATAAATCTTACAATGCTAGAAGAATTATTTGAATAACAGATTAGAGGTAGTTACCGTCACAGGATAAGTCGCCTAAACGTTAGTAAGTGTCTGAAGTCGTAGTCGCAGTGTTGGCAGAGAGTGGTGTTGCAACAGGTATTTCCTTTGGCCAGCCAGCAAGTCATTTGTGCTTCTTTTATGCTTTTTGAAGGATTTCCCCAAAGTTCTGCATTCTGACTTACGTCTCAGTGGTACTCAGAGGGCAGTAAAACTTCACTTGCAAACCAGTTGTATGTGGCCATCCTCAACCATCTGTTTCTTTAGCTATGTGGTCACGTAAAACCAATGATCAGCGTTCACTTCATCTCACTTGGCCTACTTGTTGAATCTACAAATTTTTCCTGCAGTTATCACATTCTTTGGCTACCTTTCATGATTTGCTGATGGAGGGGTGGCATATAGGGTAAAAGCGAAAAACCGACTGATCTATCGGATCGCATTAGCCTCTATTTGTTCGACTGAATAAGTTCTTAAGAAAAAAAAGAGTTATGTTGATACTCCTTGGTGCCTCTCAGTTCCCAGTGACGAACTTGCCGATTTTCCTGTTAAAAACCAGCGACTGAGGCGTAGTTATCTAAGCAGTAAATTTTAATGATCAAGTAGAGTAGCTGAGTCAGCTGAAAAACTCGGGAGGTTAGTCACTCAGATTCAGAAGAACCTCTTGTTCCTGGTCGGCACTAATGTTAAACATAAGGGGAAACATTGTTTCACCCGACATTAGGCCAACGATGGACACATAGAGTAACGTTTTTATAAGTTGTTGATATCAAGGGTCGGTGAAACACTGTCGCTCCACGTGACTGTATTTACTTCAGGAAAATTTTTCTCACTGAGATAAAAAAAAGTTGTTTAGTGGTTTGATTTTGACTAGTTGCAGAAGTCATATATATATATGGCGTTAGAATACTATTTCGTTTTTTTTATTTGAATGTTCAATCTACGTATTTTTTATTTTTGTTCATCTACAGCATCTTCTTCAACCTGATTGTCAAATTCGTTCTTTGAGTCTTTGGAACACATTTTATGGGATAGCTCTATCTACAAACAAAACAAATTCTGTCAATCTTCCTCAAAGTTCATCTGAAACAGTCTCCCATGACAGTACTTCATTCTCAAATTCTAATTCTTTTATATCCCATACAAAGCATAGATCTTTGTCATCCATTAAACCAACAGTAATTAAGACTAACTCTATCTCAAATCTCAACTGTGAACAGTTGTCACAATCTACAGAAAATACTTTAAATGACAATCAACCAATTGAATCATCAGCTAAAGTGTTAATCCCGGATGTGAAAATTGACGCCTCTGAAGAGTTACAGTCAATGACTATGAACACCGATTCATTTATTAAAGGTACTACTACCTCTGAAAGAAATTCACGCCGGCGTTCTCTTAATGATTTAACTATCCAATTAGATCATGCATCAGCTAAACAACAATTATCCAATCGAGTGTCTCCGACTGCAGTGAAATCATCGAATCATAATTTTTATAATAATAATAATAATAATTTATCCAAAGGTAAAAGCAGTCCTGAACCGGCTATACTTCGTCTTTCCTCTTTCTCTGATGATACTGGTATATGTTCTAGCTTTTCTAAAACATACCTGAGATCGTCATTATCATCAGTTAGTAATGGTGATGGTGTTTTTTCTGGAGATCCAAATAATAAATGTATATCTCCTGAGTCCAATGGACAATTAACAATGAGTACATGTACCTGCGTCAATCAATATCAACAACAAGAATGTGTACTGTCACCAGATGAGAATACAGATGTATTCACTGCTGATGAACAGTTGGAACAGAATGATTTCTCTTTCAATAATGATAACAATAATAATAATACTAACAACAATGATAGTAACAATCAATCATCAGGTCGGTTATTTTACACCCAATTCAATCATTGTACACAAAATTGTCAATTTTATGGAAAATGTTCACCATTGTCCATTTCATCGAGAAATTTCGAGTTCAATGAATTTGATGATTCTAATACTAATGATAGTATGAATAGCGGATCAAATAGTAAAATGCCGTGCAATTTTCCTCTTGATGGTGCACATGTCAATAGCTTTGTTTATAATAGCCCACGATGGTCAGTTACTACTCGTGGAAGTAATGCAAGCCTGTATTTTTTGTCAGATATGAAACAGACATCTGCTGAACAGATTAAACCAGTACCCACTCAACCGATGGATATTAAGATGTCTTATAAATCGGATAATCATAATTTAATGCATACTGCAGATAGTGTATGTCCTAATGATTTTATAGTCCATGTAAGTTACTTGTTCGTTCGTTCATTCATTCATTCAACATGATATGACATGATACCACTGCACTCATTCTTTCATTTACACAAGTGTGTATTTTTGACAATTGACTTGACTGAAAGAGATTCCATTACAACCAGCCTCACCAGGCGATTATATGGCATATTCCTTTTCTTTTTTTTAAGTGCTGCTACCTGATTTATCCAGTGGGTATTTTAGCGCGTTTCAATGAATACGCCAAAATATTCCAGCATGATTTCATGCAAATCCTTAAGTATACGTTTAACTTTTGAATTTACTGATTCCTTTAATCCATTATATTGCACAGATAACAGTATCAAGCAAGACTTTCTGTGCGTCGGTGGCACAGTGGTTAGGACTCTCGCCGACCATGCACATGGTCCGGAGTTCGATCCTCTACCGACGCACACCTGATATCAATGGTCGGCCTGCAAAATTTGGGCTACCGATATCACATGCTGAAAATTCCATACTTGTACCAAAAATACGGTGTGGAATCAAGCTGTAATCAAAAAATAAAAAATAAAAGTGCAGCAAATGTACCACACTTCAAGAATGTAATGCCACCGATAATATGTACGCGAGAAAAAAATTTATCAGTGCGAAATTTCATTTAAAAAGCATATTAAAAAGGTAACTTGTCATTAAACCACCATATCAACGGACTACGACGCTACAATTAGCAGGGATATGCAATGAAACCACTCAGCCTCACCACCGATCAATTGATGCTTCATTGGGACTCGTGGGCAATGAGTCATGAAAACAAGACTTTTTTTAAGTGTGGACATGAGTGTATTAATCAGAGATATACTATTTTACAGTTAATGTGAAATAAGCGTAATGGCGGTAATCGTTTCTACCTGTCTAGAGGTGTTACAATGCTGTGTTACTGTTGGAGGAAAGTCAAAAGCGTAAAGATGTTATTCAGCTCTCTCTCTACTCCAACGCATACAGATGTTTTAGTTCTTGAGATAATCTGCCGTATAAAGTAACAGCAGCTAACGATATTCTGCAGCAATATATCTCTGTGCGTGGGTGGCACAGCGGTTAGGACGCTCGCCGACCATGCACATGGTCCGGGGTTCGATCCCCGGCCGACGCACTCCTTTACCCCGCTAAGCCAGAAATAAAGCTGGTAAGGGGGAAAGGTTGGGCATGAGGGTAGCAACCCCATCCTGTAAAAATAAACATTGCTACAGAGACTTCAAGCCTCTAGCTTGAAGCCCTATGTTCCACTGGGGAACGTGAAGGAATAAAAAAATATATCTCTGGTATCATTTTTATCGAAAATTTCCTACAAACTAATTGGTGAAATTGATTCCACTGATCTCAGGCTAGTTTAAGTTTTGCTCAGTGAGTATCCAATTGTTCTAGTTAGTATAAAACAAGGTTGTTTCAAATGTAACCAAATGTAAGGTTATGTTTCGACGCCAGTAGTTTAACCTAAAACCTCATATGAGGCTGGTGGACGAAAATAGTCGCATGCTGTGACCACGACACTTAATTGTTGTTGAGTAATAAATAAGATGCTTAGTGGTGAAAGATCACTGCCAGGTGGTACCACATTCAAACTTTGACCATTGCTGATACTAGTAAAGTAACTAATGGTAGTTGTACAGTATAGTAGCTTTTCTCTCTGTTACTCAACAGTTGGCAAATATGGTCGTTGAGATTACAATGTGACAAGGCAACTTGTTTTCGAACAAGTTTCTGCATTTGCAGAATTGCTCACATATATTGAATGTACAATATGAGTGAATTTTCAGATATAACTGTTTATCTTACTACTTTTTACATGCATTTTCTCTATCTGGCGTATAATTTCAGTATAGAGTAAAATATATTACAAAGATTTCTCAACCTTATCATGTCTTAATTCACTAAGTTGAAATAGCATATAAAGACTGAAGAGTTTGACGTCATTTGATATTTTAGTCACATTTGCAATGCGTCAACGAGATGAGAGACTATATAGCGCCTTTATCACACTTCAGATGACTACTGAAGTACTGATCACACATATTTGATCGGCTTCGTTTCAAGAATATTGTTTGAATGAATATCAGAAGCCTTTACTCAATAAACAGTCATAATAGCCAGTAGAAAAACACCAGTGGTCACCACTTATTTTTGATTTAATGATTTCAGCAGTCCGCTCTGTCCTCCTTTATGGCTGTGAGACCTGGCCATTGAGAGTGAAAGATATGAAAAGATTAGCTGTCTTTGATCATAGATGCCTGCGTTCTATCTCCCGCTTGAAGTGGTATAATAAGGGGAACAATATTGAGGTTAGGCGTCGAGTGCTAGGTAAGGTGGGGAAATCAATCGACGAGGCTGTGAAATTACATCGACTGAGATGGACATATGTTACGTATGGCTAGTCATCGCCTTCCTCGAAGGGCAATGTTAGCTGACATGGAGTCAGGCTGGAAAAGAGCTAGCGGCGGTCAAACGAAAACGTGGCACCAGTCAATGAAATCTGCAACAGTTAGTTTAAGCCACGTAGAAAGGTGTAGACTTCCTGACTGGCTAGGGTCCTCGGGACGGTAAAAACCAATGGTTGGAAACAATTGGTGACATGGCTCAGAATCGTTCTCAGTGGCGCAGATGCATCCACTCCTTGTGACTTATGCTTTCCAATTAAACTGTTTTGTTCTCCGTTATTACTATTCCTTTGTCTCACACCTCTGTTAACTGTCTCTAATATGCAATTGTTTTTCTTTTGCTTTGTGTGCTACATGGACTGTGGTGACTCGAACTGGCGCACATCGGTGCAATGTTCTATGTCGAAAACAGACAGATAGATTTAATGATTTCGGTGTTATTTAAGCAGGATTTTATGTATATATATAATAGGCTAACCTAATATGGAACTATGCTCTGCCATTGTGTTCAAATTCTATTCTTACTTTATTTATTCTTATTGTTGTATAGAGTCTACCTGAAAATGATGAGGTGCTTGTCAATGGAACTGAATCAATCACATGTGATTTGGATAATTCACCCAATGAAAACAATGATTTAAATTTTTCCACACCATTAGGCGAATCTGTATCTGGTCAGATACCAATGAATGTAGGCAATCCTTCTACTTTGAATAATAACAGAGATGCTCAGAATTGGCAAGATATTCATAGTGCTATATCTAAAATGGATGAAGTCAATTCAGATGATGTATTATTTACAACAAAATTTAGTGAATTACTTATTCCTGAAGATTTGGTAAGATTATTGACTGCAAACTAATTTTTGTTTGATTAATGTGTGATAGAGATGTAGTCTCCTTTTTGATAATAAGATTCATATTTTATCTTCGATGTTTCATACACTGTCCGAGTTCATTTCCCCAGCCAATGTACTCGTGAATCTCGCTTAACTCGTAAAGGGTGTTGGTTGAAAAGGCACCATTACTACTGAAACTTCACAGTTGAATCTTGAAGACCTATGTTCCCCTTTTGGGACGCAAAGGAAGGAAAATGAAACGCTTAATATAGTGATCTTCGTCACTCAGCATCAACAACAAAATTCGGATTTTCAATACAAACGTCAATTCAGTTCTTCTATACGTATCAGAAACTTGGCGGGTGGCAAAGAATAATTCCAACAGCCTGTTGCAGACCTTTATCAACAGCTGTCTTCGTTCTATACTGAAGATCAGATGGCCGGAAAGAATCACCAACAAGAAACTACGGGAACGAACAAAACAAGAACTAATCGCCCAACAAATATGCAGGAGAAAGTGGAGATGGATTGGACACTCACTGAGGAGGCCACTGGGTGACTTCGCGCATCAGGCCATCAGTCGAGTGAAATCCGAAAGGGAAGTGGTGAGTGGGACGTCAGTGCAAGGGTGACATGGAGGAGATCGTGTGAAGAGGAGTTGAAACAGCATGGATTAACATGGATGCAAGTGAAAAGTACAGCAGAAGACAGAAGCAAGTGGAGACGTGTAGTTGAAGCCCTATGTTCCACTAGGAACCCAAGGGAACAATAATAATAATATAATCTAGTGATCACCACAATGGAAGATAATCTTACTTGTAACTATGTGGATTAATGGCATTATTTGTACTCGAGTTACTATTAAGGTTAATCATTATTAAAGCTAACTGTAACATTCGATCGATCCAATTTTGTTCACTTCTATTCATGCACATTTCATGTGTGTGTGTATATGTGTATGTATATATGCATGTTTCAACAACCACTTATCTTTAAAAATAAAATTTTTTTTATCTAACTCCTAATGTGAAAATTGGTGTCCAGTAAATATTATGCCAAGTATTGATTTTATTTATTTTTCAAAGAACATTCTGTGTAAATTAAGTTGTTTCTTTTGTTAAAGGATTAAATTAATTTCATTGTTATTGATTTTGTGAGATCACAAGGTAGCGAAAAAGGCTGTATTATTATCTCTAAGTGCGTTTATATAATAAGGTCGATTGCATGTATAAGACAATACACAGGGGAAATGGAATTGTGAGCGTCAATTTCCGTAGGAAGATATCAGTAGAGTGTACTGTACTTCTGTCTGTTTTTTTTTGTGGTGTATACTTGATACACCTATTGGAAGCGTCATGAAATTACATCGCCTTGGTTATTGTTCTATTGATTTTCCAAACATCACTTTGATGTCCTATTAGTTTTTATTCAATGTATTTTATTATTTTCTTTACTCTAGTATTATACAATCTGAAAATCTGATTTGTTTAATGCATAGGTGAATTGCGGTACTTTTCCTACCTATGTAATGTTCATTAATCTCAAAGAATTTCCTCTTATAAGATATTTCACAAGCATCTTATCTAGAAATTTATCTAAAAGTACATTGCTTAAGTTTTTTGCCACCATCTTTCTTTCGCTAGTAATCACATCGCCTCATTATCAGGCCTCTTTATGTAATGATCTTTTTTCCTCTCTGGTTTTCCGTTGTGGACTACACCGATTTCTAGCTTAAAGATGATAGGGAGCGAGTGAAGTGGTATAGCGCGTGTTGAACACCTCACTTATTCGGGAAGTCGCATCAGCCCCAATGGGGGGGGTCGGTCGCTGACGAAAATCTCAGCATGGATACAAAAAACGCGTGTGGCATATACCAACCTGCATCATCTCTGGCGTAGACGTGATATCCGGCTGTAGAACAAAGGACGTGTGTACTGCTCAGCACTTTGCCCTGTCCTCCTTTATGGCTGTGAGACATGGCTATTGAAAGTGGAAGATATGGAAAGACACGTTGTCGTTTATCATAGGTGTCTGCAACTCCGTACTAGATAAGTTTATTTTAAATATCACACAGTGATTCAGTACCAACAATAGTTGTTAATACTGCATCACTGTATGCCATTGAAAATAAACTTATCTAGTATGGAATTATATTCTACCACAGTTCCCAAGTGTCTGCGTTTTATCTCCCGTGTTGGGTGAGTAATATTGAGGATAGATGTAGAGTGTTTGGTAAGGAGGGAAAATCAATCAATGAGGCTGTAAAAATGAATCGATTGAGATGATTAGGACATGTGTCACGCATTCCTAGCCATCGCCTTCCTCGACAAGTAATGTTAGGTGACATAAGCTCAGGTTGGAAAAGAAAAACCAGTTGCTGTCAAAAAAATATGTAATTCGTCTATAAAAGCTTTGACAGTGGGTTTGGGCCACGTAGGAAGGTGTAGGTGTAGGCTGCCTGATTGCGGTCGTCGGGATTCTAAGAACCATTGGCTGTAGACAATTAGTGATATGACTGATAACCGTTCTCATTTGCTCAGATGCATTCAACCTCTGTGGTGATCTACCATATCCATCAAACCCTATAGTTTTTCCCTGATATTATTGTTTGTCCTTCACACTTCTGTTTATAATCGTTCTTTCAAGTATCTTTTATTTGACTCTTTTGTCTTCCTTTGCATGCGTGCTTCATGGAGAGTGGCACACTCAAACTGCTGGACTTCTATGCAAAGTTCTGTGTTGAAATCAGTCAGTTAGGTTTTCTCTATTTGTATTGTATTATTGTTTGCCATTGTTTTAAATCTACTTCCGTTTGCTGTTTTCTCTCCATGCTTTTTATATAGCTTAATTGGAGAAGTAAGTATTTCCGACCTGAACACTTTCCAAACATCCCATCTCATTCGTCATCATCATCATCATCATTCTACCATGGGGAAAGAAATTCATCTTCTGATCAAATGTTGGACAGTACTGCTACAACAACAATAACAACAACAACTACTGCTAGCGGCACTACCAGTACTATTCATCAAAACAATAAAAGCCTTAAGTCTGGTGCATCTTTTGATTTGAAAACTTATTCTACACAAGTTAATCCTAAAGTTTCCTTACCTGAATTCACGCATATAATGAACAATGAAGCAGATATCAGTCATCGGCCAACATCAGCTCCAATCAGTCCAACTCTCTGTCCTGTATCCTATTTTTCTTCGCCTACATTGCATAAGAATATATCACCGTTAAATAATACAACTGTACGGAATTTATTCACTTATCAGAAACCATTGGATAATGTTAATTCATTGGATGAATTGCATAAAAAGCCTTTATCTTCTGCATTGGTAGGTTTTAGCTTTTCAATGTATCTTTTCAACTAATTATTGAGTCATTATTATTATTTTTTAATCTCTTGGAAGGAAACCACTGTTCCACGCTTTTCGGGTAGATAAAAGTTCAAATTGATTTGCAAAGGTTGTTGATCATTCCAGTTTGTTAAAAGGGATAATAATAAGATCTTTCTATGATAATCACAGGAGTATTGGCTTTACTCACTCTGGTGTGTAAGGTCCTATTTTTTCTTCCTGCGGTGACTAAGTAGGCATCAGCAATAATAAACCTGAGAAAACCAGGTAAGTTTCAGGGTTGGATGACAGTTCATTGGTCATATCTTCACTCTTCAACAGCTTCGGGAACACTGGTATCCAATACACTTGTTACACTTCTTAATCTGAAAATATTGTCCAACTCTTAATGGATAGTTGCTCTGTGAAGTTTCTTTTTTCTCCTGAAAGAATACTCTTTATCTTCTAGCTCTGTGGGATAATACCATGTTTCTCTCTGTCTGTGTGTGTGTGTTGTGTTTCGAAATTAGTCGCCTAGTGTGTTAGTTAGGTGTGTAAAAGGACTTCACTCACACAATTAGATTGGACAGAATATACATATATCCGTATCGCGAAGATACACAAAGCTTTTGAATTTATCCTATGCAAGACAGATATGATTCTGTGGTTATTTGTTAGATTTATTTTCTGTATCTACACGTGTATAATTCTTTAGAATCCCGTGTTTGTATATTTGTTACCAAGTAATAAATAGATAAGCTGAATTTCTGAAACAAGTTTATCTCTGCCGTCACCCAGATCCTTATAACTAGACTATGTCTCATTAGCATGAATAAATGTTTGTAGGTTAAAAGCATATCTTTGAATAGTTCCAGATCTAATAATAATAATAATAATAATAATAATAATAATAATAATAATTTATTTTATCCTGAAACCAGTACTTCTGATACAGAATGGAACTTTCAGCATTAATCACAATATTGCATCTAATTTCCTCAAATTATAAATAAATTTAATCACACAGAAAATTTTTCCACATTTACAATAGGGGTAAATATCAAAAACATGCAGCATACAAAGTGGAAATAATAATGATAACAGCTAAGGTAATAATAATGATACAAGTGAAAATTGCCGTGGGCTTGTTTCACACAGTATTATCGATACGGTATAGAAATCCTAGCATGTTTAAAAATATTGAATATAATGTTCTCTTTACATGATATGGTGAGGGGGAAAAGTATGGTATCATAGAATTTTTATACTTAGACGTGCTAGCATACAGTTTTCTGAAGTTACTTCTTGTTCTACCTGAGGAGATGCAAGGTGAAAGCTGAGGGTAAAGTGGATGCTCCAAGTCAGACAAAATCCCTTTAGCAAATTTACTGCACGAAGTCAAGTGCCTATCGACAACGACGTTAACTATGTGGTCCACTGGGACACCACTCACCCTACTGACCGTCTTCAGCATTCTACGAATTGTGACATAGTCATTTTTAAGCAAACCAGGAAAGAATAAGGGTGAACAATAAAGAAGAATAGGTAGGATGCAAGAGTTTATGAACTGTAAGAGGAGGGGTTGAGTTATACCCGAGTGCCTTAACTTCTTAATGTAAAATGTCAGGCGGAATATTTTACTGGAGATCGCTAAGACATGGGAAGACCAGGAGAGATCAGAAGAGAGAATAAGTCCAAGATACTTAATTTCTGATTGAATTCCTATATCACTGTCGTCAATCTTACAACTGTCATGAGAATCGACGGTTTCTTTTAGCTGTCTTTTACATCTTAAGCTGTAATTAACAGTTTGACATTTAGAAGGACTCAGTTTAAGACCGTTAGACTCAGACCATTTACTGACTCCCGACAGAAGGCTACTCATTTTGGTACCGTCTAGCTGGGAGTTAACAGCCATTGAAACTGTTAGATCATCAGCGTACTTCACAAAGTTTATTTCATCAGAGTGAGGCAAGTCATGTAAGACAAACGAAAAGGAGAAAGGACAGCGCCTTGAGGGACACCAGCTTCAGTAGGCAATGAAGTGGGAGACTTCCCTTTATACACGGTGTACTGCTTTCTTTCTGAGAAATAGGAATGTAACCAGTTAACAGCCCAACATTCTGTTTGACTTGCAGCAAGTTTATTTAATAAGATGTCCCTAGGGACCAAGGTCAAAAGCAGATGTATAGTCTAGGAAGGCACAACGAACAAATTTAGCCCCCTTGTCTAGACTGGAAGCAATGTTATGATATAAGAGGACAGCTAGATCTAAAGTGCTTCTACTGTGCTTATAGGCAAATTGTTTAGGGTCATTAAAGGATTTAAGCGAAGGTACAAGACTAAGTAAAAGTAATTTCTCCATAGTTCTCAAAAAAGGAGAGGTAATAGCAATGGGTCTAAATTTGACACATGCTCCAGTAGATGATTTAGGTATAGATACAACTTTAATGTCCTTCCAAATGGCAGGCACAATATTACTGGAAAAAGATTTGTTAAATAGATCAGTGAGAGGGTGACACAGAATATCAGAACACTTAAAAAAATAATACTAGGTACATAATCTGGACCTAAGCTCTGGAAAGGGTTCAAAGACTTGAGGCACTTTTGAACATCATGTGTTAAAACCTGGAAAGGGGCTTTTATTAACACTAGTGATGCTGGGAAGCATGGCATTTGAGGGAGAGTAAATAAAAGATTTATTAAGAGTACATACATCAAAAGAATACGGAATATTTTTTATCTGCTTACCACCAGTGATTTCCTTAAATAGTTTCCACATATTAGAAGCATTTTTGCAGGATATGAATTTCTGGTTATATATTACATTCAACCTCTGCATTTCAGACTTGATTAAGAAGTTAGTTCTTTTTACACCACTTTTTTCTTTCATTTTATATAGTTTTTCCTTCCCTCTACGAAGCTTTTTAAGTTGAGGGGAGGAGAAACGGTCAAATTTGACGAATAGTGTTTCTTTTGGACAGCAGATTTCAAAACAGAATTTCAGATAAGATGTAATATTAGAGATAGTGTCATCAAGTGAATCATCATCATTAAACAGATCCCACCTTGTGTCACTGAGCATGTTTCTAAGATGATGTACGTTCTCATTTGAGTAACATCTGTGAACAACTTTCTTGGACAAGTTTGAGAAGGCTTTATTGTGTAACTTTCCGTAAATTTTGGGTAAAACTCGTACAATACAGTGATCCGAATTGAAGAGCGGAGCTCTTTTACGAGCTTCGTATATTCCAGAATCATTTATAAGTACTAAATCAAGTGAAGTATCTTGTCGAGTTGGGAAGTTAACAACATTTTCATGGCCCAGCAATATAATAAAACTGTAGTCAGAAGAATTGAAGTCACCAGTCACTACAGACAAGGAGTTACCAAACGAAGCAGCAGCAAAAATAGTGAATTCATCAGCGAAGATCGATAGTTCTGAGGGACTGCAACAAGGTGTGACAGATATTTGTGACAAAAATGAAGTTATACTTAGATAAGTGTTTAGGTCGACGACAGAGTTAAACTTTCGACACCAGTAACAACCAATCAGCAAACGACCTTGAACGGACCAATCACGTGAAAGAGGCGTTTATGATAAGTGGAAACGTATATTTATAGAAAAATGCATTAAAAAAAGGATAAAACGGTTACAATGGGTATCTTTCCCGAACGTGGGACAGAAACATCTCCCAATTCAGCATGGGACTCAATAGAGAAGTCACACCACATTCTATGCATATATTCATCTAAATGACTATAAATGAGATCCTTTTGAGATCCATTTATAGCCCGCATCCTATTTTTCAATCGACCCCAAAATCCTTCAATGGAATTTGTATGAGTCCCTGTAACTGGATCCACGAAAACACTGGAGTGGTTCACTCTGTGATGAATGTATCCGAGGGATGACAATGAATTGTAACCTTTCCACTCGTCTGTATGTACAATTGATCGCCGTTTCACAAGTCGCGTTATAATAGGTATCAGAGTAGTCGCCTTCCTGTATGTTATTCTTTCAATAAATCCTTTTCGGAGGGACGTGTCGTACAAACCTATGACCCAAATATTGTTCGCTCTCTGACGACCACGGTTATATTTCTTCTTCACCAACACTGTCTCATCCACATGCACTACTACGTCGTCCCCGCCTAACAAAGAAGTAACTCTCTCCATTTTCCATGAGGTGATGTCTCTGCAGTGCTGGTACCACTGAACTGTTGAGACGAGGCTGTTCTCCGTCTCGGCAGCTGCGGCTCTCACCGGGTGTTTCAATACCTAGTAATTGCAGATGTACAAAATCTGGGTTAGGGAGAGATGCGACCTAGCAAAAAAGGTTCCTACGAAATATTAAAATTAGCAGCTTACCCTCTCTAATACTAACTCGCTTTCAGCATATTCCACAACGATGGACAAATCCATCAGTTGACCTGGTATAGCTTTTTAGAGTCATTACACCACCACACGAACAACTTCTCTCCTTTTGAAGCAAGCCCAAGTCCAGGCAATACTGAAAGACACTATCCTCCTCGAATTGCAAAAGTAACCTTGTAAGGGCACGCATTTGAAATGAATCAAGCGCTATAGAACATTGAACTACGTTCATGAATCTCATTGGGGCGAAGTACAAGAATAGAGTCCCAGGATTGTAAATGTTCCAATGTCTTTGTGAATGTTCCAATGACCTTGAACGCATGCTAGTTATTGGTTTAGGAAACTTACCATTATTCTACCGCGAAAATGAACGCTGTTCGTCTACTGAGATGCAAATTTCACCCAGATCACGTATTTCAGTACTGTCTGGATAATGGATTAATAGCACGTACACGGATATGTACTTGTGGTGCTTCTATGAACCTGCAGGCGTATACGCAGGTCATTGACGGATATGTATTTAGATGTACACAGTGCAGAAAACGAATAAGTGTTTGTAATGGTAAGTGACAGTCTCAGTTAATTGTCTTCTAGGGACTTTCTTTGAAAAATCGAAACTTCCG